AATTTATTATTATCATTACTCTTATTATGACCATGATAAGAATAACAATGATAAGTAACGTGATAGCGATAATCATACTAATAATCATAACAACAACAGCTCCACCACTAACAACAACAACAATAATAATTATTGTTATTGTTATCACTATAATAATAATAATAATAAGTAAATATTATTAATTCATAATATCGCTGTATAAAAAGATAATACGAAATAGACAGAAATACGCAAAGTAATCTCAACGTAACAACTAGAAGGCATGTCTCTTCTTAGCCCCACAACGCTAGTCTAAGTGCATTAAACAAATAGTATTTATCGGGCGCTGTGATAGGTAAAATAGTTATCTTCTACTACGTCCGAACTAGAAAATGAAGAAGTGGCACCTCATCCAAACTCTAGAACGATAAACCCCGCTATAGCTTACTCCAGTCCGTAGTGTAAAGAAATTAGATATATCGCACATGGCTGAGTAGGGAGGGAGGGAGGGAGGGACACAGTGGGAGAGGAAGGGAAGGGGGAGGGGCAAGGATAGAGAGAGAGCGAAGGAGAAGGGTCATGGTGGGACAGGGAGTGAGGGAGGGAGAGACAAGGGCATAGACGGAGAGGGGAGGGGGGCATAGAGGGAGAGGGAACGAGGGAGAGGTGCCACGCTGAGTGAAGGAAGGAGCTAGGGAGGGCAAGGAGAGAGAGAGAGAGAGAGAGAGAGAGAGAGAGAGAGAGAGAGAGAGAGAGAGAGAGAGAGAGAGAGAGAGAGAGAGAGAACGAGAGAGGAAGCCACAGTGGGAAGAGGAGGGAGATAGGGAGAGGGAAGAATAGAAGAGGGGTATAGAGGGAGAGCGAGGGTGGGAGGGGGGAGAACGCAGAAAGAGAATATATATAGAGGTGGGAATAAAGAGGAAGGAAGGGTGGACGGAGTTCGGAGGGGCAAAGAGAAAGAAAGAGAGAGAGAGAGAGAGAGAGAGTGAGAGACAAAGAGAGAGAGAGAGAGAGAGAGAGAGAGAGAGCGAAGAGGAAAGATAGGCAAAGAGATATAGAGGCACTGATCTGAAGGAAGACTGGATCGAACCACTATTGCTTCACTCTTGGTTCCAATGAAAATCCTGGCGGCCACCTTGGTGTGTGAGACCACCTACCGAGCCACGGGGAAAGTTAATGACAAGTTCTTAAAAACATTGTAGCTTAGAAACGGAATACAAGGTTAAAATCGAGCCAACATTTACTTTCAAATAAAATTTAATTCCAGATTCACATGAAATAAAAATTTACAGGAAAAAGAAGGATTTTGAAGATGGGGTTTACTTAAATAATGCAATTAGGTTAACTAATCTGCACAAAAAATAGTAATGTTACACTGTAAATGGAATAGAGAATTAAATGGAGATAAAGTAAGCTGGTTTATATAGCTATCTACTTTTCTTCTTCTTCTTCTTCTTCTCAACGCCAATATGCCTACTATTAATATAAACGATTTAAACGGAAGTGCCAGGGATCAAAGTTCCCCGCCCAAGGATACTTAGGCGTGGAATATCCTCCGGAACTGCAGTTTAAGGTGGAGTTTCTTCGCCTTCACTCACTCCTTTTTCCCTTTCCTTCTTTGACTGTGCTTATTGCAACTTTTTGCATACCACCGCGTCCCCCCCCCCCCCCCCCGTCGTTTTGATCTATGCGCGTTGATTTCAAAGCGCGGAATATATGCAAGGTGGGCGTACCAAGATGACGCCGGTCAAAAAAAAGTCTTTAGAATTTGATGCGCGTGAACACTGGGTTGCTCGATCCTGTCTGGTTCTAAGGTCAGTGGATAGAGGGAGGAAGGGAGGATAGAGATAGACGGAAAGAGTGTAAGGGATAGACAAGGAACACCGACTTTTTTCCCTTTTTTTTCTTTCTTTCTTTTTCTTTGTTTTCACATTGAAAGCATTATGCTGTTACTACATCAACACCAGTAAAAGAAGAGAGTTTATCCCCCTACTAAAAGTACAGTTTATCGGGTTAAATCCTTCATTATAACACGAAGGAACTGAGATGTTATACACTCAAAAATAGCATAGTTCTTGCCTATTCAGTTAGTACGCACGATGCTATTTTCTTTCTTTCTTTTTATCTAAAACTACTGACGAATGAAAGAGAAAATTTTATTCAGCCAGGCTTTGGCAATGACCCGCCCGCGCGCAGGTGCCAATTAGTATATTTAACCAAGACGAGAAACATCAACATTGAAAGAAAAAAAAAAGAAAAAAAAAAACAGACAGACGAACCACAACTTTTCACACCAAACTGTCCATCTCTCTTGTGATGTATACGCAATTTACCTTCCCTCGCTGACTTGCTTGTCCCTGTGAAGAATGATTTACCCCCCCCCCCCCCACCGGCAGTCGGGATTTCCCCCTTCTGTACTATGCCGCCATATTGATGCCGTGTCTCGTCCTCAAGGGGTTGGTCAACAAGCGCCTGCTAGCCAATCAGGAACACCTGCCTCTCTCTTAATCTATCTGTCTGTCTATCTAGCTGTCTGTCTATCTATTTCTCCATCACCCCTCCTCTCTCTCTCTCTCTATCTATCTTTCTATCTATCGATCTATCTCTCTATCTATCGATCTATCTACCTATCTAACTATCTATCTATACACCTGCCTCTCCATCTGGCTAGCTATCGATCAATCTATCTATCTATCTCTCTATCTATCTTACAATCTATCTAGCTATCCATATATCAATCTATCTCTCCCTCCCCATCTTTCTCTC